AGAGCTCAAATGTGGGGGTGAGGGAGGTAGAGGGATTGGGTTTGATTGGTCACCTGGCCACTGGGCTGAGCCCTGGGAACAGGAAATATGACATCATCAAGCTGACATTCAGGAATGTGGGAATGTCAGGCTGCATGTTAACATAACTCCAACCAGACAGAGGGGAGGGAGGGAGAGAGAAAGAGAGAGAGAGAGAGAGAGAGAGAGAGAGAGAGAGAGAGAAGGGTGGACCTAACTAATGACCTCAGCTGAGAGGCCTCTATAACCCTAATTGGTCATTATTGAACACTATTTCCACTTACACTGATAACTCATAACCATATGGACTGTGTTAAAGTTAATAGCGTTATGTCATCAAGAGGAGGACGATGAGATTTTGAAATGTAAACTGTCAAAGCTCCTGTCCATGCTGCCCCTGCTCTTCTGGAAGCAGCTGAAAGCCACGCCACACCTCATACTGAGTATTTGCACGCTAATGAACTACAATGTTTTTGATATGTTCCTGCTCAGACAGCGCTAATGCTAACTGCTGAATTATCTCCTCAGTCTTCATCGGGTTCTGTAAGAGCTGCTAATCACTCGCTTTAACCACATCTGCAGTGCTCAAACGGCAAAACGTCTAAAACCAGCAGGAATGACCATGCAATGTTAGCGCACCCCTGCTATTGCTAAACCAATAGTCTGATGTAATGTAAGGTTGAACACAACATTAATCACTTAACAGTCACACAAAAGATACCGTAAATCCTCTAATACAGGCCCGGGCCTGTATTTGACTCAAGCTCACCAAGCTCCAGGCCTTTATTGGAAGGAGGGCCAGTATTAGAGGCAGGCCTCTATTTCTATTTGAGCAAAATGAACTAATGGTTCGCTGGAGTTTTTGACAATTAAAATTGCGCCCACATTTTCAAAGTTAAACACGTTTCTTTTAACAACGGTAGTTTCTGCTTCAGCCATCTCCCCCCTCCCCCTGCGCAGCAGCCGCAAACTCACGGATGCGCCTGCAGCCTCTCTGAGTTCCTGCTGCTCTAAACATTAAAATAATTATTTCATTTTCTGTTCCTCACTTCTGATAACCTTCAATGGTGTCTGTTTGTTGCAACACCAGGTACAAAAACTAACTTGTTTTTATTTGACTATTTTTCTGTCCTGTCTGTTTATTATCTTCCTGCATCTCCTCTCAGTCCTAAAGAGAAACTGCTACCTGGGTTCATATATATTCACCTCATGAGTTACCTTTGAACTGCAGTTCTAAAAGATCTACCGACCGCAAAAACAGCGGAGCGCTTGCTATTTGGCGGCCGTATCAGTGATCAGTGCATCGGAGGACAAGGTGATGCCCGCAGCGCCTCGCTCCACAGCAGCGAAACGCATCAGGCGCAAATAAAAGACAGAAAACATTAAAGGAAATGAACTGACATGAACGATCGCGTGTCAGTACCTACGGTCTGGCACAGCGCGTTGCTGATCACAGAGAATGTGATCATACGATAATTCAATAGGGAGCGTGGTTTCACAGACGCGGAAGTGATAGCGTCGGTGAAACGCCGGCTGCTCTAGGAAACCCCCGAGCGTTCGAGCGTCAACGAAGTGACACGGAAATGCCGGGCTTTCCAGAAGTAAGTAAGATAACTTACTATGAGCTGATAGTTCGTTGGATTGATCGGTAGGTTGGAAACTCTGATCGTGAATCTGAAGAAACGATGACTGAGTGGTGAGCTGGAAAGGCGACTTCCGTTTATAGCCGCGGTTTGTGACGTAGGTGCGACGTGGAGGGAATCCCCGCGAGGGGCATGCTGGGAGTCCCTACTTCGCGGATTTTCACCTATCGCGGCCAGGTCTGGAACGCATCTACCGCGATAAACGAGGGATTACTGTAGTTCATACAACCCCTACTGCTGCTCCCCAGAGTGTTCTGCAGCATAATCAGCACGTTCTCTTTGAACTTGATAGTGTAATGACCTGGCTGGGGTTGTAAGCCAGGTGCATTCTGGGTATTGTGTTATATGTGTTTCCTATCGTTCTGCTAGTTCCTATGTGCTGATTTGCGTGTTGTGTGAGTGTTATGTAAGCCACAGGGAAGATGATGTGTGTTCTGTGGAGCGGGTTGAATTAGCATGGTTAACTGACACCATGACTCTGTGTGGTAGGAGCGTGATAGAGGATCGTGTCTGTAGCGTTACAAAGTGTTGAAGAAAAAGCCTCATAAAGGTCTGCGTGAACACCTACTGCCTTCTGCTGGTTGATTTGGGGACTATAACCCTACCGCTGGGACGCTCGTACTTGCTTGTTACCACATTCCATCCGGCCACAATAAGAGACCGGCCATTATTTACCTCCGCTGACTCTTGACACCGGCCAAAATTGGAGACCCGGCTTTTAATTGAATACCGGCCTGTATTAGAGGATTTACGGTAAATGCCCTTTCGTTCCCCTCTTCTTCCACAGTTGGCTCATTTACAGATTGACGTTAATTCAAAGCAGTTTGAGTTAGCTTTCAAGCTAGGTTGTTGTGCTAAGCCAGCGAAGACGCATCCACATCACCCAGTTGTGCATGCTGGGATGTGGGGCACATTCTTGCTGATTGACAGTTTCCTATTTTGGATATGCAACTCTATTGGTCAACGCTCTAGCTCACGTTATTGATTAGTTTTGCTGTAGAGGCCAGTGGAAGGACTTAGAGGAAATATAAAATGTGAAAGATTACCTACTATAAATAAACTGCATACCCCAGCTTGAAGGTGTCCTTAAATAGTTTGGACTGTGTAGCGTCCAGCATTGAGCTGTGAGATGAAGTCTCTTAACTAACTGTAGTAACTTGAAGGGGTTATAAAAATTTAAAAGATGCACTCCGCTGCAGTTAACATTTAACTCTTTAATGATAACCTTGAAACAGACACAGGATTACATCCGAGCCAGCAGACTCTTACTTCTTTGGCGCTCAGTTCCGGACCGGAGCGCTGCAACACTCAAGCTGGGGAAACAACATAGGGAAACAAAGGTTCCAGGCTGAATGCCACCTCATACTTTAAACATTCTCAACTTTTACCTTATCACACTAACTGATCAGCATCTCTTACAACTCGAAAAACATTAAAAAATTATGATTGTGTTCCTCAAATCGTTTTCTTGCAGTGCCACAAGGTAGATTATTCAGCATAGAGGTCATTTTCATCAGCCTTTTATGAATGATCAGGTTGGTCGCTCTTATTAAAGCAACACTTACATGATCATCAGATCAAGCCATCTTTCCCATTTCTCCAAGGTCTAATTCGGATGCTAACAGATGAGCAGCTATGCAGCCTAACTGGGATTATGACACATTTCTATCAAACCAGTATGAACATTTTCAACAGCCTGAGTCACCTGCTTGATCAGACATTCTTTGCGGGTTTATTTTTTACTTCTTATATCCAATTATGGTAGATAACGACTATTCAGACCAATGGGAACATCCCTGAATGAAGAGATTCTTTTTTTCCCATTTAAAGACAAATATTTCATTTCCCCGTAAGCTGATACATTAATTTAAAAATGCTATTGTTGTGATCAGTGGTCATAATGTTATGGCTGATAGTTTTACTGGAGTATAAAATTACTCCCATTATTAACCGCTGTCTGTTTCTTGAACATGCATGCTGTCAGCAGAGTAATCTCCAACTCAGATGAGTACATCTGGATCTTATTTCCTCAATTGGACGCAAAAAGGAAGAACAGTTTCGTAAAAGCGCCAATTCTCCGAAATTCTTCTGGAGAAGAAAAATCTAAAGCATGATTTCTTTTTTATTTTGCTAAATGTTTCATATGAACAGAATTATTCGCTGTAATGAAATCTGGTGGATTACAGCTGAACACATCTGAATTAAAATGCAAATTAGATTAATTATCACTATATAATAAAAATAAATAATATGTATCTGTAGCTCAGGAGATAGCTTCATTGTCAATGAGGCAGCTGCTGCTAATCTGTATTTGTCTAAAATAACTTTTGGGTCTTTTTGCCCAAATAGTCATTTATTGGTTGTGAGAATTTTCTAAAGAGACAGAAATAAGAATAGCTTGGCCTCATGTCAACCCACATCAGAGTCCCACACTCATCATCACTGGTGGGTTATCTAAAAATAATGTAACACTTCATATTTTTAAGGAAAATCAAGTTTTTACTAAACACTAAAACAAAGTTAAAATAAAAAGAGCAGAGCAGATCAATAAGCTCACCTGTTAAACTTATTTTTGTTCTTTTAGACTATTTGAACTCGTGCAGCTCAACACAGATGATGCATCACTATTTTCCACCTAACCAAGCTTCTTTTTCAAACAGGATGTAAAAGCAACGATTTCTAGACAATTCTATATGCAATAAACTGACAAAGATTCAGACTTAAAATCTGCAGAAGCAAAAATCAAGTAAACAAAAAGAAAGTTGCCGTGCCTTGTCATCAGCTGGGCTACAGCTAAACATATGTATGGTTCCCGTGGAAACAACATATTTATTATGAAGTATGACTTGGAGCCAAATTAAGTAATTAGTACCAGTGACATCCACTATGACGCATGTTTGCGTGGAGCTTCACGGCTAAGTGACAGAGTCGTGGTGTTTAGACGGTTCATGTGTCAGTCGGCTTCTTGTTAGCAGATTAAAGACAGAACCAGAGCCCCAGAGGACCTCTGCTGCCTGGGAAACCAAAGTCTGACTGACTCTGACCCACGCTCTGGGTCTGTGACCCACCCACCCACCCCACTGTCTAATAGCAACACTCTTTCCTCTTCATCCACTTTGCCTTTTCTGATGTTCACATGCTGAGTTTTGGAAAAACACAAGTCACAGAAGGGACGGTGGAATGCACATTCTCCAAATGTTTCCCACTGCCGATTTCACAACAGGCACACATGTTCCTGTTCACACACACACACACACACACACACACACACACACACACACACACACACACACACACACACGTTTTGTCATTCATACGTTTGCAGTAACACTCACTCACCCCGATAGTGGAGGCTGTCATCGTGGTGGTTTAGCTGGCGGTGGTTCTCCAGGGCGGGGGGGCTGCTGGCTCCCAGCTCTGCCAGTCTGCGGCTGGTGGCGGAGAGCTCGGATCGCAGGTTTGTCACTTCCTGACTGGCGGACTGGATGGCCCCATCGATCCTCTGAGCCAGCTGTTTGTTGTTCTCCATCATTTTAAGGATTTTCCCCTGAGGACCAAATCCACACAGAGTAGCATGGTGTCAAGAGGAGCATTACAGGGAGTGGAGCGGACACCCTTTCCTCCTTTTTTCCTCTTCAGCACCTCCTCCTCCTTCTGTATTTCTTCTCTTAAGGTCTACTTTGCATCTAGAACAACACAGCTCCTTCTCGTCTGGGTTTAACTGCACATAGAGGGTGTCTACCTGTTACTGCAAAGAAGGGGTTTGCACTTCAGAGAGAGAGAAAGCATGAGTTTGAGCTAAGAAAAGGAGAAAAGCAAACAGAGTGAAGAAGGACAGGAAGACAGAAGGAGAAAAGGAGAAGGAGCGCAGCAGCAGCAGCAGGAGGGAAAGTGAACGCTCCCGCCGAGGAGAACGTGCTGTGAGCAGCTGCTCTCTGAGAGGACCCTGCACACACTGAGATGACACGCCGCCTTTTAAATGGACTGTACCATGTGGTGGAGGAATGGGGGAAAGAGAGAGGGATGGGGGTGCAGATAGAAAGATGTGCTCTCCAACTTTCTAACTGCACAGCAAATCCCACACTCTGTGGAGTCTGTAATGAGTTAGCAAATTGAGTTTGTAGAGGAGGAAAACTGCAGATTGTTTCTTCTCTTTCTGTGTTGCTACACTCAGAGTCTGGCAGCGGCGTTAAACCCTTCAGCAAGCACTTGTCATGTCCTCCGTGTCTTTTCACATGTGCACCCACTTTCCTTTCCTCCCTCTCACTCAAACACCCACTGTCCTTTTTGTCTCTCCTACCCCTCCTTCTCCGTTCTATTATACATCCATCTCTTTGTCCTGGGAAGGCTCTCCCCCACACTGGTGCAAGGGGGGAGAAGGGGCTGGCACAAGGCACCCAAATGGGGGGAGCATTTCAACACACAGCAAACTTTGCAAAGGACAGCGCCTCATGAAAAATGGAGAGGGGTCCACACAAAAAAAAAGAAGAGGCCCATAGAATTACAATCGTGCTTTATGTTTGTGATCCAAACAGTTGGGAGGATTATTCTCTCAGCTTATCTTTGGGCCCAGAAAACAAACAGCGCTGGCATTGCTTCTTATCTTTACAGTAGTGGGATTCCATCACACATACAAAAGGTTACATGGTGGCAGGGCTGGGGGGTGCAGCTGATTTTATCTCAAAACATTCCTGGATATTGCTGAGCCGTCGTCCTTGTTTAAAATCTACATTTGACATTTTCATTTTCACCCAAGAAGAAAACGCATCCTGTCTGAGTTAGAAAGTGAAGCAGATGAGCGGTCCATCAGTCAGCTGCTGGCTGCCTCCACTCAGGTGATAACAGCTCATTGGTATTCTCTCTCTATATGAGAGAAAGGAAGAAATAAATAGAGAGGAAATAAAGCGAGAGAGAGAGAAAGAGAGAGGATGAAAGAAAGAAAGAAAGAAAGAAAGAAATAAAGAGAGAGAGGATGAAAGAAAGAAAGAGAGAGAGGATGAAAGAAAGAAAGAAAGAAAGAAAGAAAGAAAGAAAGAAAGAAAGAAAGAAAGAAAGAAAGAAAGAAAGAAAGAAAGAAAGAAAGAAAGAAAGAAAGAAAGAAAGAAAGAAAGAAAGAAAGAGAACTGAGAGAGAGACATGACAGCTATGGTTCAAGACTTGCCAGTTAGTCTGATGGTTTATTTATTGCACACTCTTTTAAACACCCCCACCTCCAAAGGTCATAGTTTACAGCTTGTCCATGTGACCGTCTCATCGATGTGGCCTTCACTGACCCAGTTTGACTCATTGGTTTTACTCTACACAGTCAAGGTCAAAGTATGCACAACCCACAATGTACAAGTGCCATGATTTTATAAAATAACTGTTCCATCTGATTTTAATCAAAGTTTTCTTCATCCGACCAACTTCAGATACCTCTGGATTACAACATCATCAGCATTTCTGAACTTTGGAACTTTTGAAATAATCAGCCAATCAGCTGCTGGAAACTACAACAGTTTTGAGTAATGGTGGAATTTGACAAGAAAACAAAAGACACTCCAATAATCTAATAATGACCAGTGTTTAAAAATAAAAAAGAAATGCATTTTTGTTTAATAAGTTGACCCGTTTTGCACGCTGGGGTTCTGATGTTTTTGAGTCAGATAGTTTAAAAAACACAATTAAATTGCAACTACTGATGAACTCAACCCTTCATCTGGTTTTTACTGCCAATCATTCACTATGACCATCTGAAGACTTGTGTGGTTGGTTGTGTGGTCGGTGGGTAGGTAGGTAGGTAGGTAGGTTGGTTGGTTGGTTGGTTGGTAAGTTGTTTAAATGGATGAATGGATGGATGGATGGATGGATGGATGGATGGATGGATGGTTGGTTGGTTTTTTGGATGGTAGGTAGGTTGATAGGTTGTTTGGATGGTTGGTAGATAGTTTGGTCGGTCGGTAGATAGTTTGGATGGTTGGTTGGTTAGTTGTTTTTTTTGGATGGTTGGTTGGTTGTTTGGATGGATGGATGGTTGGTTGGTTTTTTGGATGGTTGGTAGGTTGATAGGTTGTTTGGATGGATGGTTGGTAGGTTGATAGGTTGTTTGGATGGATGGTTGATAGGTTGATAGGTTGTTTGGATGGTTGGTAGATAGTTTGGATGGCCGGTAGATAGTTTGGATGGTTGGTTGGTTGGTTAGTTGATTTTTTGGATGGTTGGTTGGTTGTTTGGATGGATGGATGGATGGTTGGTTGATAGGTTGTTTGGATGGTTGGTAGATAGTTTGGATGGCCGGTAGATAGTTTGGATGGCCGGTAGATAGTTTGGATGGTTGGTTGGTTGGTTAGTTGGTTTTTTGGATGGATGGTTGGTTGGTTGTTTGGATGGATGGATGGATGGATGGATGGATGGATGGATGGATGATAGTTAGGGTTGAAGCTTAAAATACTAGCTTATTGCTTTTATTAATTTACCTGTAATCTTATTTTTCTTCTTGTAGTGTATGTGTTGTTGTAACAAGTACATTTCCCCACTGTGGGATTAATAAATTCTATTCTATTTTCCTTCCATGCCACTTCACCAGCAACAATTCCAGTTTAAAAAAATGCTGTTTGTTTGGCGATGCCTACTGATATCATTTCCTGCTGAGTTACAATGAATCTGCGTGAGTTAAACCCCACACAGCAACTTCATTTCTGAGCTCATACCTCAGTACCGCATGGCTCCTGAAATAGCCCAGAAAGTGGTCCTTTCCCACCGGCCCAGTGACATGGCGACACTCACATGCCTTGAAAGTCTGGTAAAACTACCCAGAAGAAAGTGGAAATGGGCCTCATGTAGCATCTAGAGTTATGCTGCCATTTCCATTAAGGTATTCAAACATCAGTTCATTTCTACTTCTTCTACTTTTGCTGCGTGACTCATTGTATTCTAAATGCTTCCCACGTTTCATCTCTCCTACTTTGTTTTTAATATATGACACAGGTCAGTCCAGAGACCAGCAGTACTGTTATGTTTTGATCACATTAGCAGATCATCATTACCGTCTAGACACTCCCTGACCCCAACTATTTCAGTGGCCCTGATTTGTTGCCGATTGGCAAAATGTAACCAAGGTCAGAGGTTGAAGGTCATTTCCTGGGCTTGTTTTCATTAAAAATAAATTTTAAGACATCCAATTTGTGGAGAGCTGGAAAATAAATGATTTATTGTTTAGTGAAACATCAATAAGCACATGAAGAACATGTTTGCATCACTTTCAAAACAGAGTTTGTGACTTTGGTAAAGACCAGAGTCCCTAAATGACCAGTTTTCATGTAGCTGTTAGTAGATTTATTTTGTTTATTTGTTTGGTGTCATTACCAGGAAGTGTAATTAAGTGTGCCACTGGTGTGCAGTTAAAAACCGCTATTGATAAACAGTCGCCGTGATATCTGCCTGGTTTAATTGAAAATCGACTGGTCCTCCACACACTGGAATGCTTTCCATTGTATCCCAGCATAAACTGATATAAAGCTGCATAAACGATTAAAAGGTGTGTGGGTTTTTGGAAAAATAAATGTCAGTCAAAAGCTAGATGGCTTTGCATTTGCCTCTGAATTCAAGCCTGTTTTTCAGTGCTCAGTTTTCTAAAACAATATTATAAACGATCCACAGACACTACGCGAGTCTACCAAATGTAGAAAATCACTGTACTAATGTTTGGTTTGATTTGTTTATCTTTTTCTCTTCCAATATTAGATGTTTGAGTAATCCTTAAAGATAAACACATACTTTAGTTTTGATCGTGTAAACATTCCTCAAATCATCCGTATTTTTTTTTCTAGCCTAAAAATCTAGACAGAGTAACCGAAGCTAAATGATTTGCATGTCGGTCTAGCCACGCTCCATTGTAGACTCAGATCCACCATTGGCCAGAATCAATTTTGTGTTATGCCAATCACAGGGCTCTATTAATTTGGTGGGCGTGATGATGCAAAAGAGCTAAACAACAAATATGGTGGCGGCTTGTTTGAAATGGCTTTGGCATCAACTTTGGACTATTTAGACTACGAATTTTCTTCGAGTCAAGAGCAGACAGAGGTACTTAAGTCCTTTATGTAGAAAAAGGATGTATTTGCATCTTCTTCGACAGTCTATGGTAGACTGTCCCGTTAACTGACGCCCGAAGCGGTGAGTGTGTCAAGTTTGTTGTTGTCTATTAGCATGTGGAGACAGTCTGGAATACAACCATAGAGTAAGGGGCTCGACACACGGGAGGCGACAAATGACCGTGATCAGCGAAATTCGTCGCTGTTGCTTTTATTACCTGACACATGGGAGGTGACCCGCGGCAGCAGCCAGCTGCAAAGCCGTCAACGCGTTCTGTTCCTGGCGAAATTGTTTTGTTTGGCTGTGTCAGGTTGGAGGGAATTAAGGTTATTTAAGTGGTTCAGAGTTTTAAAAAAAAGTGGTAGATATGATGTTTCACAAGGTGCTGCTAGAGTTATGTGAAATCTTACTTCTGATTTTACTATAGAAAACATAACAATAATCAACTTCTCCTTCATGTTTGCTCGGAGATGT